AACGTCTTTTAACAACTCCCAGTTTCTATTGAATAATAGATAAAACGTAAAATAAGAAAGGAGTCTGTAGGAATTGCCCTTTTGAAACATATTTGTTTGTGTCACTGACAAGCAATATTCGATTTTGAATCATTCAGTAGAAAAGATACTTATCGACTAGATAATACAAAAATATCTGTAAACTGATTCGAAATTCCTTAGTAAAGAAATAAAAACTAAAACACGTTCCTAATCAATATTCTTATTAGAAATAAACATTGACTTACTAAGTCTGATGATCATAAATTTAGGATTCTAGTTGTATCTTGCAAGCATCGAAATAATATACTTCACGTAAAAACAACAAGAAATGACACAATGTCTTCGATGTGTCTTAAATAAAAACAAATTAATCGAAAAAACTATAATTTTCACTCTTCCTGTATTTGGCTCAATAATGCTATCAGGTGAAAGAAACTATTTTGATGAAGACTTTAACTTCAACGGAAATATGGACAAATCCTGGATTTCACTCAGCACAGTGCCGATGATTCATCGCACGCTTTCCTTTCAACTTAGTTTTTTATTAATATTCTTAAAATAATTTTGAACTGAAAACGAATCTTCGTTCTCAAAAATACCTGAAGTGAACATTAAAGAAATCGATTCCTACGATGAAGTGATCTTCATTTCATCACAGTGTTTGAAAGTTTACTTCATGAGATTCATTCAAAAAACAAACAGATTTTTCGTCGAGAAAACAGAAATTAGTTTTCAGACACTTTAGTTATTAGTGTCGAATCTGAATCCTTATCGAATTTTTTTTCATACAATCATTATTCGATCTAAAGGGATAATGACTCATATTATTTTTACAATTCTTGTTGCAAATTATCAGAGAGTATGATACTAGCTATTGGAATCGCTCTTTAACAATTGAACTTGGTGTTGACTGATCCATGTCAAACGATTCGATTGTTTACTTCATATATTACAAAGAATTAATTAGCTATATTTTATGAATTTTCATCATCACATCGATTCGTGCCGTTACAAAAGTTGCAGACTTGCCGAACAACTAGATTTTGCAACAACTTTGAATTAAAATAATCTTGTCACTCTCATTACACAACTTCCATAAAAGAATCGAATACCATGCCCAAAAAAAAGGCCTTTTTCAACTAGAACTTGGCCTTGTGTAGTAGTTTATCTTAACGGGGATAGCTGCATATTTTCAATCAAACTATAAGATTGTTACCCTTCTATTGGCAATTTCCGAAATTCGAGGTTTGAACGTAGAATAATAAATGCATCAAAATTAAGGATAAAATAATCTATGCTTGATTGTAGAATACTGAACGCTTCTAGATTGATTGTAACACGATGCATTTTGTCATGACAACATCTACTATTTAAGTTTTCATATCCTCTCACGCGCAGATATCTATCGACTCATAAGCACACAAATTGGGTCAGTGGATGAATCCAGCTTGTCACATCGAATAATACATTTACGGCGATACAGAATTTAAGATTTTTCTAGGTTCCAAAATAGTGAACCCTTGTGTTAAAAATGTGAATTGCACTGTTACAATGCGTGTAAAATACAAATTGCGATGAAAACATAAAATACGAAAACTAGAAATATTGATCACATCATTTTCACACTAGAATGCACTATTGATGCAATAAATATTTTTTGGGTCGTAATTCTTGAAGAATTAACGAAATCTCAATAAACGTTTTAAAAGTCGGTGTGTTCTTCTCAAGTACAGAGGGGACTTATTATACAATTGATTGCTATAGTGTACACCAATCTACCCTGCATCATATAATAATAAACCCTTTTACGATATCGTATAATAATCTACCCTCACAGGTATTTTGATAAACGCTTCTACTGAAAACGGAGAATAATCTACCATTGATCGTAGAATAATGAACCGTTTTGATGACATCGCCTACTGGTCTGTCATCAACGGTATTATAGTAAACGCTTTTTCTGAAAATAGAGAATAATCTACCCTCATTGGTATTATGATAAACGCTTCTACTAAAAATGGAGAATAATCAACTATTGATCGTAGAATAATAAACCCGTTTGGTGAAATCGTGTGCTGATTTACCCTCAAACGTATTATAAAGAACGCTTCCTATGAAAGCGAAGAATAATCAACTGTTGGTCGTAGAATAATCAACTCTTTTGATGACCTCATATACTGGTATACCCTCAGCGGTATTATAATAAACGCTTTTTCAGAAAGTGAAGAATAATCAACCGTTGGACGTAGAATAATGAACCATTTTTACGATATCGTACAATAATCTACCCTCAACAGTATTATAATAAACGCTTCTGTTGAAAATGTAGAATAATCAACCATTGATCGTAGAACAATGAACCCTTTTGATGACATCGCCTACTAGTCTGCCATCAACGGTATTATAGTAAACGCTTTTTCTGAAAGTGGAGAATAATCAACCATTGATCGTAGAATAAGATTTGTTTTGCATGAATCGTATAATAATCTACCCCCTGATTGTTGGTAATAAACTGATTTTGGAAATACGTATATTAAGCTATACCTATCCGTTTATTAATAAACAGCTTGAATAAAATTATGAAATACAAAACCCTTAAAACAGCTTCATATACCCTTTTTATATTCATATACCCTTACGATCACAAACCCTTCGGCTCATGTACCCTTCATAGGGTATATGGCGTGCGCAAAAACCCTTCAAGGGTTTATAGAAAAAAAAATCAAGGGCAAGCGTTCATTATTCTGCCCTTTTTTTTTACAGTGTAGGACGCTAGACCGATTTTTATCGTTCTGCGGAACTCTGGAACCTACCCTGTTGGAGAAAATAGCGAAAATAGTGGTCATTTTGACTCATCGGGGCTATAATATCTGCTTGAAGCAAATAATTAATTGATTAAGGCCTATGATAACTTTTCATTTATTAATTGACATCAAGTTGGTCAGAAAAGTATAGTTTTCTGCCAGCCGTTCTGCGAAAGTGAGAGAAAGAAGCGAGATAACTTTAAACAAAAAAACAGGCAACTTGAATGATGAGATATGGCATACCGACTTGAAATTATGCTAATATAAAAAAAAATCTGAGGAAATATGGGAAAACTCGAAAAATTCAAAGAAACTCAAAAATCCCTAAATCCGCTTTTCCACCCTTGGAATATGATTAACTATTTTTTAGCACATACGATTCTTAACCTTTCTTGAGATAGACATGCCTAAGAAGACTCAATACATGACAGCGAAAGCTGACGAAAATCCTAGTATGAATGAACACAAAAACTAGAAGACATTGAACGTTTTGCGACCTCTTTTACATACACTTTGACGAGAGGGCTGGTCAAAAGTCTTCAAGAATGCCACTGTTGTGAATGAGAGAGGACAACTGACTTAATCAAGCCAATGTATCTCGTGAAGATAGAGCCTTGCTTTGCAATAGAAAATACGATATTCAAATGATAGGCAAGGAATAAAAAGTTTAAAAGTTCGAAAAAAAGCTGTTAGCGCAATTCCTTACGGGATTACAAATGTGAAACACGATGTAGTTGCTATAGCCGATGTTCTAAAAGTTGTTGTTTTTTATGCATATTGGAATACATTCCTTCCTAATGGTTTACTTTACATTATACACTTTGAATCGGATAATATTCCATATATGCTCCAATCATATGTTAGTTATGCATTATCTCTGATATCTGCTTGAAGTCTTCTTCAGTTTATAATGACCCATGGGCCCTATCTATCATGCTCTATGACGTGCCCAGAGACCTGTCTGTCACGGTCTGTGACGGGTCCGGAGACCTGTCTGTGTCACGCCCAAAGTCTGTCTGTCACGGTGTGTGAGGGGAGGTGCAAATTTCTACCCCTAAACACTTCAACACTCCTTTCAGATCGTGTTTCACGACATCTCAAAAATCTAAAAAAATCCCGAAAAATCCGAAAAAATCCGAAAAAATCCCAAATAATCCCAAAGAATCTCAAATATTCTCAAATAATCTCAAATAATCCCAAATAATCTCAAATAATCTCAAATAATCTCAAATAATCCCAAAAATCCCGAAAATCCCAAATAAACCCAAAAAATCCCAAAAAATCCCGAAAAATTCCAAAAAATCTTCTTCGGATTTTAGAATCTGTAAAATCCCAAATCCGCTTTTTCCCCCTTGTTTTACTGTGAGAGTTCGATGATTTTTTCGTAAGGATTATCTCTTACACTAAAATGTCATTTGATGAATGAAAAACATATCGAAACGTGATTTTCAATAGTTCCAGTCGAAACGGAAAGGCATGCGAAGCTTGGAACCGTCCTTTCCAGAAAATATCGTTCTTCGTTTTTCAACATTACATTTAAAGACTTCTGAAGGCAATATTCATGACTAACGTTGTCGCGTCATTTGACGTGATTGTTTTCTCCGAGAAAATATATGAACGAGTTGGTCGCTTAAAATTCGACATTGTTTCAGTTAAAATGAATGGTGTCACGTTGTGATATTCTCTCCAGTTGCTTCAACGATACGTTTTTTTTCCTAGGAAATATCTTGAATCGGAAAGTAGCTTTATCGTCCCTCTTGTTCGCCAAAAGACCATGCCAGACAAATAGTAGAAGATTTGAAAATATTTCACTTGATTCTCAAATAAGGAAAACGAACCGATCGAATGATGTTCATATGATGATCTATCATTCTTGCGGAGAAGATGAATGAAAAACTATAAAAGAGACTCGTTTTTATGCTATATTCTTAAGAATTCACATTATACTTACAGATATTCAATATGACTTCGACGTCTAACTTCCAGACTGTTCGGTCCTTTGGATCAAGAGGAACAAATCCCACTCATAATATCGACGAGCTTTATCAGTTTAAGCATATTCACCACAACACGCTCGAGTATCTTCCAAACTTTTTTCCAAATGGTCAAGATATAGAACGTCGCAAAATAAAGGCAAACCTCAGATTTGTCTTACAAACTGTTTATGTTCCATTGATGGGACGCGAAGGTCGTGCCAAGATGCGGTATGCGTCCACCAAGCTGATGGCTACTGTAATTGACTGGCAGAACGAAAATATCAACAATCAAAACAATGCTGTTCAGAATGTTGAGAGCGAACCGAAACCTTGGTCAAGAGAAGAACAGCAAGATTTTTTAGTGAGAAAAGGTGAAGATTTATACAAATGCTGTTTACAATATCTTTACAACCAAGTACAGCAAATTCTAAATTCAAGAGAACGAAACAGACCAAAGGTGCAACATATCAACTACGGAGATTCGACTCAAAATCATGACGAATATTGGAATCAATATGATGAAGCTGCTGAATTCTTATTACGGCATTATCGTCGTCGACTTCATGAACGAAACAATGATCCTGATCATACAGAAGCTCTCATGGAGTTGAAGACTATTTATGCTGCCTGTCTGGCAGCTGCCGCTCTACGTTGGTACTCGGTGCGTATAGAACAGGGAAAAAACCGTTCAAATGAAGACAAAAAACTTCATCAAGATATCATTAAACGTTTGGTAACAATGGCCACTGCTATACGTTTGATTCTTCCGCAAGATCTCACACAAGCAAGTTCTATTTATGAAGTCTACAAAGCTCGATTCGAAAATTTTAAATGGTCTCCTGCTGTGAAATCGGTTGATAACGACAAAGAGTAGTCGACGGTGTCAACATCAACAAAGCAGTAGTAAAAATTTGCAAGATAAAAATTGTGACGCATCGTGCTTAATGTGTCTAATTTTTCTTTAATATTTTCTCGAATTCATTTTTTGAAAAAGCGTATGATAATAATATTCAAGATATCAAATAAATTTATTTTAAGCTCGTAACCAATAACGAACAGTTTTTTGAATATGAGGTATATCCGAGTCCCGTGAATTCTGAGCTCTTGACAGTTTCGGAACTTAAAAACAAAATACAAAATAAGCAATCATCAGCCAAAACAACAATCCTTCTACTTTTTTTCCAATTTAACTATTTAAAGCTTAATAGATCATTGGTGTTCTGAGATATATTTTTTCCTCATGGAACGTTTTCACTACTATACGTCGTCATTGTTTCTAGAATCTGTATGAGATTATTTCAACGTTGCATTTCATACGAACTGGACTCGTCGTTTATTTTGCTGTTTGTTTCTACTATTTTTGTTTATTTTTATGTGTGTCTCTAGAGGAAAAAAGAGGATCCTATGGATCCTTCCAGTACCTGTGGATTCCTTTGAATCCTATAGATCCTCTTGGATCCTTTTAGATCCCTCTGGATTCTATGGAGGGTATGGGTGTGGGTGTGTGTTAGGGGAAGCATAACACCAACACGCCCACACCCACACCCTCAAATCAACTACCTATATTTGGCAGTATCCAAGCATTCATACGTCACGTTGATATCATTTCGCAGTAAACTTACCTTACCGCCTTCAATATTTGTGGTAGCTGCTCTTGGACAGCCATTGACATCACGAGACACCCCTATGCCTTGTACATGCCTGGTTCTCTGCGAGTGAGATACAGAGTCATTTTCGCACGTAGCATATCATGGCTATTTTGGTAACTCCCAGCAGTGTATATTATAGCTCGAATCCAACATATGCAAGAGTGGTCAACAACTGATATCCATACTAGAATGCAGTGTCAAAGAAAATAGCTTCAATACAAATAAATGTACTGTGAGCAGCTGTAATGCATATCCAAGCAATGGTCTCAAAACAACTATTGAGTGGCAAGTTATGGACCTAACAAATATCGAAGTCAATTCCGTATTCTTTATCAAGACAATTGATGTATCTTCTAGATGTTCAATAATCTGTAGAAAAACTAAATTTTGTCATTTTGATTTTCTTGTTTGAGATCTGTTCGAGCTCATAAAAATGTGTTCTCGAAAATCTGTTATCAAAATACTAACACCTACTTTTTTGGTGAATTTTGCAAAAGTAGGTGTTAATATTTCAATGACAGGTTTTCGAGAAAACATTTTTATGAGCTCGGACAAATTTCAAAACAAATTTCTTTTCAATTTAAGACGTCACTCGCCTCTTCACGACTTTTCCTTTCAGAGTTATAACCAAAACAAAATAAGCAAAAACGTTACGGAGTTACGTGGACAAACCGTATATCTGATTATTTAAGCATAACTTTTAATTGTAGATGATGTTCTTAGTATATACTTCCTTCAATTGATTGCTACTACTGATACAGCCCTCACCGGACATCTTTTCTTCTCATTCTGTTCTCTAGTTTACGTGTATACGGACAATAGGCAGGCAGATAAAAAGGTGTCAGTACAATTTCAACACTCTATCGTTTATGTTAGCGTATGATTGAAATGAAATAACAAATAATAGTTATATTGACAATTTAACTCTCTTGTTTATTTAGAAGTGACTATTAACAATGTATAATAAAATAAAACACATTCTTAACAACGAAATCTTTACCACCACAAATACAAATCATGATGAGCAAATTTAATAAAATAATCATCGAGTAAATTTTCTGATTCGATTAATGTCTTTAATTCTTTTAAACATCTTTTTGGTAATCGTGAAATACATATGGAAAATAAATGATATATTTTATTATTAGGTTTTGAAAATAAAAATCGTATAATTTGTTCAATTTCTTTTTTATCTATTGAAATTTTAAGATATTCTATTTGAAGAAATAACTTAAAAATTAATTTAATTTCTTCTAATGTTGTACACCAATTAAGAAGTTCTAAATTTGTTATTTTATTTGCTTTTGATACATATTGAAAGGTTCGACTTTTTTGAATTAATTTTGAAGAAGTTTTATCGAGAGATAGGACAAAGAATTTCAATGTGTGTAAATTAGGTGTTAAACATAATAATTTAATAAATTCATCAAAAGAAAAATTACGAACATGAAGAACTAATTTAGTAAGTTGTTCTAAAGGAATAATACGATCAACATTTGTTACTAATGCATCATCACATATTTGAGGACGATATTGAATAGTCAATTCAGTAGCATTTGAAAAATAATTAACACAATTATCTGTCATTTTTGGATTACGAATGTAAACATTTTTAACTGAATTCAAATTATTTTCTTGAATATGTGGACAAATATGCATATCTGATTCCCAAAAAAATGTATAATCTTTTCTTCTATAAAAACAAAAGATATCTATAATACAAAAACAAATAAATTAATTTTTTTACCGATAGGGATTTGTTGAATAAAATATTCCACTTTCAATTTTTTGTCCTTGCCATTCATGTTGATGTGCAAAAAACCATTTATGTTCAATCCAAAATCTTGTTGTAAATTGTTTGATTGTATCATGATATGGTGCAGGATTGTCAAGTTATACATGATTATCATGTTTAAAATCAAAAACAAGTAAATTTGGCATAGAAGATAAGATTAATTGTTCCCATCGTTTTGCATCTAAATATGATTGATCCATTCTTGTTGTAATACGTAAAACTTCAATAGAACGAAAATAATGCTTTACTAATAATTCAAATCCATTAAACAAAACATTATAAATATTAAGAGAAATATATTTAAAATCTTTTAATAAAATATGAGATAATTTCAGGTTTTCATAAGGATATCCAACAAGACTACTAATTGATAAATAACGAAGTTTCGGAAGATGTAATAATAAATCATTAAATGAATGAGTTACAAAACCACAATTAATCACAAGATGTTCAATAGAACTAGTTTTACATTTATCAAAATTAACCTCCAAATATAGTGATTCTTTTGTGTCACATGTTATTTTAAAATATTTTAATATAGGTAAACGAAATATATAAAAGAAAAGTTTATCTGGATCTTGTACACGGCCAATCAGATTAAGAACTAATGAATGTAATTTAGTTAAATGAATTGATTGATTAAGAATGTTATGAAGATATTTTGCATCAATATTATCAAAAATTAAAGTTTCAAGACGAACAAATTTGGTAATAATTCGTGGTGGTGAAAAAACAATATCAACAGTAAATGGATTTGATAAACGAAAATAGTTTATTCGATGTTTATTTGATAGAATAATATCGTTATAATAATGTTCGAAATTTGATTTTGACATTGGCGAAACATTAATTTGAATAGAATGATTAGAATCTATTAATAAATTTTTAAAACGTTTATTAAGATCAAAGAATAATCGATAAACATGATAAATATCCAGATATTCAAATATTTCATAAAGAATTTCATTTGCTAAATCTTCAAATCGCGATCTAAATTTTGTATTAGTTGTTCTTACTAAATAAAAAATAAATGAGATTGATTAAATCGAAACAAAATCTTACTTTTATTTCGTAATTTCCGTTTTTTATTACTATGATTATTCTCAACCACGCCATTTCGTTGTCGTTTTCGTTCCATATTTAAAATAACAAATGACGATGATACTAATCGCGAACAATGAAAAAGAATAGATATGGGTGAATCCATGGAGACCCATCCACTTTTTGGAAAGGTCTTTTTTTTCGATTTTTTTTTTGTTCAAAAGGCTAGTTACATACACGGTCGAAAGGAGGCGATGATACAATGACAGAACGAAAAAGATGCGCTCCTCATGGGACTCAAACCGACACCTTCTGCTATCCGGGCAGATGTCCTAAGCCAGTTAGACTAGAAGAGACGATGTTATTTTCTTTTTCGTCTTAGATCGTCATTCTATGTGCACGATCTAACAAGGCTGATCTCGACTAGAAAACACTTTTGGTCAAAAAAAAATGAAATACTCTCTATCAAAAATTCCGAGTTTTCGAGCATTTTCTCGGAACACCTATGGTGTACTTTTATATACAGGGAAAATGGCATGAAATAAGATAGAAATTTTTTAAAAACAATTTTTTCGGATTTTTTTGGTTTTCAAAAATATAAACAAAGTCTAGAAACATGTTTCTTGAGGTACATCAGATCAATCCTAATGAACGTTTTGAATGCTCAGTCATTTTCTGGTTATCCATGAACATAAGACTACAGAAATCTAGTATAAGGAGGAGATGAAGAGGGCTATCCTTTATATCTGAATACTGAGTATCATCATCAGGGTTGATTTTAAAAAATTTGATTGACTGACAAAGATATAAAGAGGATTTTTATTTGAATGTAAATGTCCTGATCTTTGTTGACCGAGATGTCAAACTATATTGACCAGTTGAATTGTTGATTGGTTTGAATTCATGCATACTTCGAATGTCTTGTATCGTACCTAAATAAATACAGACATTAAGGAATAGAAGAGAAAGTCTTTCCCACCAGCTGCTCGAATTTTTTCGCTTCTAGCTTGCAGATAACTGTCCTTCGCTTCTTCTACTTCATCTGATTCAAGAAAGAACACATGAACACCAGGAATATCCTTGTTAGATCTTCTTGCCGTTTCAAGTTGTTATTTCTGGGTGAATTCGTAAAAGTCTTTTGCATTTGACATGAGAATGTTCTTGGAAAGTGTAGCACGTCTAGCTGTGGACTTGAGTACCGCACCAATTCCATCGCCAGCACCCTTACCATATCCTGTAGCTGTAAATGTCCAACAAGCATCCAAATCAAAATCGATCTTGTGGTGGATTAGGTTCAAAATGCTGGCATTGTTTTTGAAATGTGCACACGCACCATCGCTAAAGAAAAGGAAAGGATTGACGTCATACATAAACTTCAAAAACAGTAAAACTTACCTCACATAATTGATCTTCTTTACCAACGGAAAATTTTTCTTGATAAATCCAGTGAGAATTTTTTGTACACAGTGCTCTATATCTAAAGATGTACTTAAAGAGAAATGGAATATCTATCATTTCGATAGTAGTGTCCCTTTCGATTCCATGGTCTCACTTTTTGAAGACGGTATACTAGCAAATCCTTCTAGTTATCAGGGCGGAGTTGTCAGTACGATTTCGTTCTGTGAGGATAGTATCATGAAAGTTGTTATATTCCACGAGGCGAAGAAAATAAAAATTATTCAATTTAATTGAATACAATCTATGTTGACGAAATATAGCTATTGATATGTTCAGAGAAAATGACTAAGCATTGGAAACCTCCATTAGGATTGATCTGATGTACCTCAAGAAACATGTTTCTAGACTTTGTTTATATTTTTGAAAACCAAAAAAATCCGAAAAAGTTGTTTTTAAAAAATTTCTATCCTATTTCATGCCATTTTCCCTATATATAAAAGTACACCATAGGTGTTCCGAGAAAATGCTCGAAAACTCGGAATTTTTGATAGAGAGTATTTAATTTTTTTTTGACCAAAAGTGTTTTCTAGTCGAGATCAGCCTTTTGAACAAAAAAAAATCGAAAAAAAAGACCTTTCCAAAAAAGTGGATGGGTCTCCATGGATTCACCCATATATATGTAGAATAACCTTCTATCTTTCTCTAATCTATGTATAACGAACGAATAGTAATCGATTAGTGATTCACTCTGATATGATCCTACGAGGCATGTATTCACTAATAAAAGAGTGATTATTCTCATAAGTTTATTTTCATATAAACCACGTTTTCAAAATAAAGTTTTAATAATTCAATCAACAAGTGTAATATGTTAATCTGAATATTTTTGAGTCTTCGGATCATCAATTGACATTTGAACATGTTGATATTCTTTTTCTTGATCAGATGTAAAATGATTCATTCCGAGATGTTGTGATGGTATAATAAATAATGGATTGTATTCCATTATAAGATAATTTAATCGAAGAAGATGTTTGATTAGTTGTTTGTTGTGAGGTTTTTTCCATATACAATATCGTTCAATTAATATTATTACATGAGAAAGCACATTAAACAAAAAGAGAGGCGTAGAGCAATATATAACGACAGAAAAAGTAGATAAGCAGAAGAAGAATGCACAATTTTTTTTAGCAAAGTTATTCCAAGCAGACCTTGAAAAGCCAACGCTGGATATGACAAGTAATCGAATCTTCTTATATTTTTTTTCATTCTATCCAAATGTCGAGCCTTCGAAACTACGGAAAAATTGTTTCGATTGCTCGTTTTAGTTTAATCGCTGAACATTTCTTTGAAATCCGGTTTTTGGATAAATCTTTGTTTTTAGCATTCAGTGAGGACATAAGGGGTGCTTCATAATAAATGGTCGCACTTTGCATATGGTATTGTAATCTATAAATAAGTTTCATTAATAAACAAAATATACTACAAGATGCAGCATGAAAAGCTCTACAATTTACAAAGCATAGCTTATTTTAATTGTATATTTTTTGTTTTTCAAACGAGCAAAATTTTGTGCAGTCAACTTTCGTCTTTGCGAAAATTGATCGTACAGAACATTGCTTGTTTGAAAAAGTTATATTTTTGTTTTTCATCTATTGATCGAGGCTATCATTAGTAGATCAGATTTCGCAATAATTTTTAGTGAAAGTTAATATAGTTATAATCCTATTCTACATCTAGTTTACTCGTACTTTCTTTGTCATTGTCTTTTTACATTCTCCATCAAGTGAGTTCTTCAGAAAAACAATATTTTTTCCTTACATTTGGGACGATTCGATACTCTATAACATAATGTTTAGTGTGTGTTTGTTTGTTTCTCCGTCGGATTAAAGGACAAACATCAAAAGTTAAAGGTTAAGATTTCTAGCCATTTTAATACAAAAAGAGGTCAGGTGACAGAGGATAACTTTACAAGAGCTACAAGGAATATAAGGCTATAAGGTCGAAGGCTATATGGATTATAAAAATATGTGCGATATAAGACTATGAGGCAGTAGGGTTATCTAACTATCTATATACATAATATCGAGTGTCTGTATGTCTGTTACTGGATGTAAAGTGAAATGTCTAAGGTCTTACGTTAAAAGAGAAAACAGCCATGCAGTATGCATGAGCTCTCGCTAGTTATGATCATAACATCGAGTTAATAGAATACGCTGTTTTCGTACAATTGCTAAGCTAATATAGTAGACTGACGGAATAATACCCAATCTCTGAAACCCTGAATTTTCTGATTGAGCCAGTTCAATCAAGGCTTATGAGAATTGAATTAGAAGACCTTTTTAGACGTAGAAAAAACATGATCGCTTCTCAAGTAATGCTACAAGGAGCAAAAAAACACAGATAACAGTTTACTACAACAATGCAAAATACAGAATCACATAAACAAGTATCAATTTCAAGATGTCTACAGTTTTTGGAACCAAAAGTAAATTGAGTGATGGAAGATATGATGAGCAATGAGATTGCCAATGATGTCTTTATTGAAGATTGAAACTAATGTTCATGATAGATCCAGCAAAGCTTTCAAGGTCGCTGCTATTGATTGGACTAAAATGTGTTCACGATAACCACCTTCTAACACAAAGACCAAAGGAATGTTAAGCTTTTTCAACTTGTCAGACATTCGAAAAAATCCATTCGATGTTAATCTTGCACATTCTTCTGCTTCATCTTTAGCAGCATCAAAACCAGCTGAAATAAGAATCAACGAAGGACAAAATCGAATAATGTCTGGTAATACTTTTATATCAAATGTTTGAAGATATTCTTCATCTCCAGGAAGTCGATTCCTATTGAATAGATCGATAAGATAACAATTCGAAGGTACGCTGGTAGAAGTCAAAGTTTTTCCAAATGCAGCATAAATATCGATGAGACGATAATTTTGCTGATCATCATTCGATATTCGTCCCATTATTTCTTCTGTTCCTCCACTTCTATGTACATCCCAATCTAAAATAAGAACTCGTGGTACTTCGAGGATTCGAACAGCATACATGGCAGCGATTGCCACGGAATTTAAACCACAAAATGTTCCTACTTGATCGGTTGAAGAATGATGACCAGCTGGACGAATCAAAGCTATACCAAAATCGATTTCACCTCGTACAATTGATGACACTACATTAAGCGTTGTACCAGCTGCTATCCGACATGCCCGAGCAATAATTGGACCAACACTTTGAAAATTATAACTAGCATTAGCATAGGAAAGTGTTCGCATTGACATCACATCATCGACGATTTCTCCACGTTCAACAGCTAAAAAACCTGATAAGAATGTTTCAGAATGGACAAGTCGAATTTCTTCATCAGTGACCATCCTTCCAAAAAGGCATTTCCAACGAGATTGATGAACAAGCCAGAAGTTCTTATGCAAATAATCAATAATTGAAGTCAAACGATGAGGTTGTTCAACATGTCCTTCGCCCCATGTATGTTCAAACATTCCATTGAGTGAGATGAAATCACAAGGAGCAATTCCAACATGAGATGATGCTAATACAGCAGAAGATGTACTTGCCCACGTTTTCAATATTTCACTTATTGATGAAGGTAAAGAAATCGGTCTGTAGTCGGATTTTCTTTCAATTGATACTGTCGCATTGACACTGGATTGTGCAATATCAAAGAAAT